TGTTAAAATACATGTATATCTGTACATACATATATATATATACCTCAATAACGAAAAAAACATTTTCATGAAAATATATTTTGTGTTCATTTATTTTGATTTTAAAAGAAACTCGGTACTTCTGTTCAGAAGTTCGTTATGATAATACAAAATTTGTAACAGCTAGTTTCGACCAGGAAAACTACTGTGAAGAAAACTCAAATGCTTGGTCAACATCTCTCTTACTTTTTGTTTTCAGTATGCGTGAAACATGTCCTAGAGTATGAGAGAGTTCCATGTTACGGAGTCATTAAACGAGACATAACGTTCTGTAGTGTAAAGTAGGCTTATGTCCTAAGGGTTAATACGGTACCATGCTTTTCTAGTTTGTGCATTGTGGATCTTTCTAAAAACATTGCTACAGGGATTGGTTTTAAAGATTTAATATGTGTTATTATGCCGTACAAAACTTTTAAGATATGACACTGTACACATATAAAAAATATTAAGTGACACTAAGGAGTATTAAGTCATTTTACATTATTACATTGTTATCTGTGTAATTATAAAACTTCATATATTTAATTTATATTGAGCTATATATTGATTCGTAAAACTATTCAAACCTTTTGTGCATCAAACTAAATATTTTCGGTTACACACATAAAGTAAGTTAAAAAAAATGCTCGGTGTGAGTCACATGTATTATATAAAATATAAAGATGGTGCATAGGTACAGGCATTCATAAAGTTCGCAATCCTTAATTGTTAAGATTTTATGAAGACAGAGGACTGAACAACTGAATAAACAATAAATTTGGTTGTATATACAATTCCCTAATTACATGATCTGATTTCAAATATTAGTATTGAAGGAATTCATAATTGAAGTTTCCAGATGGCAGAACATCTAAAATAAAATCTCACATTTATTCGGGTGGATAGATTCAAAAATAGTGGTTAGTTAAAGCTTCAGGAAGATGAATGGTATTCCCTTATCGCTATAATTACATCTGTCATGCCACGATGCTATTATCTTACATAGTTTCGTCGTGCCGAAAACAGCAGTATAGCGATTATAAGGTAGTTTCACTTCAATTACTACTCATTTAATAATATAAGTTATGCCTTTGTTTAGTTTTGTTGGTTGTAAGACTGCAATGTAACAATTATTTTTAATATAGCCTTTGATAGGACCCGTCGAGGGAATAGTGAAGATACGTGAGAAGAGTATTTTAACGTAATTTCTGTGCGCAGTTTACCTTCTCGGACTATATCTAAATCACATTTCTGAATGTAGATTTTTTTTGCTGACTTGCTGTAACAATTTCTCTGCATGTTTACCTAAATTATTACAATATGAGAAATCTCACAACAAATATACTTATTAGTGGAAGTAATTGTAAACGCTTTGTTTTTTTCATGAATAAGATTTTGATGAGAGTGTGTATGTTTTATTTTATTTCTAGTTGTTGAAGTGTAAATCCTGTTGGTATTCACAATATTAGAAGAGTGTCAAAAATTAGGTGGGGTAAAACGGTCACCTTTTCTTTCATTGCAGTTTTCACCAAATAAAATGTAAGTCACGAAAAAGAAAAATATTGTAGAATGAGCCCTGTTTTATTATAAATGTAATTTCTTGTTAAAGCAAAGAATGTACATAGACCTTTTGAGGATATTAAAAAAAACATACTTCTTGTAGTTGGAAAGGGAGGTATGATTAATTATAAGGTTGGATGAGAAGGACCCACCAAAATGAGGTAAAATGGTCCTCACCCAATTCATAATAACTGCAATTTCAAATAAATGTTGCATTTAGCAACGTTATTTAAATCACTTAACTTATATTTTTAAACTGTCACGACAAGAATCGGGAAGGCCGTGCGCTATTCGCAAGTTGCGCATTATCGAGAACAACAGCGCATTGCGACCAGAGTTTATTACAGAAATATATGGTGTGAGGTAAGACGGTCCCATGGGGAAGACCATATTGTCTCAATCAATTCATCGTAAAGCAATCGTACGTTATGAAAAATAAGTGAACTTTAACTGCATTTCTTTTACGGCATGTTGTACGGTTGTATATAATTCCTCATTGTTTGAAATCAACAAAGTAAAATTCTTTGAAATATTTACTTTATAACCTCAAAAAAATTCAAAGTGCTTACTTTAAAGTTGCTTAGAAAAATAAAGTCGTGCTTTCATCATCGACATTCACGCCTGTCCGCCAGTGTGTTTATGCATGAGGTCACGTAAACAATAATTACAAATAATTCATTCTAGCTGGCAACACATAGCTGCTGATATACAGGGGTGATCGTTTTTTACCCAAACTAACGTCTTGGATCACTTTACCTTATATCAGTAATTAATACAAAGACGAAAATTAACATGTTTAATTTTAAGTGCTACTTATCATACTAAAACAAAACACGTAAAACCTTAATGGTGCAGTAGATATAAAGGCATGGATGGAAATATAGAAGCATATAATATGACATTACATTTTCAGTAGCATTTCTATTTTAAGATTTTAAAATAAGATATTTCTCGTGTGTGTGGATAAATCTAACTTTATATTAGACTAGATTATCTAATTACTATTTATACGCTAGTATTTAGGTATAATAATCAATATGCTGTTATACAAAAAACATATGTTCTTTCTTGTAATTTTTTGTAATGTTAACATGTCTTTCGCATATTTCTTTATGTCGAACACAATTTCTGGTTTTCTGTCCAACATTGACGAAATTTCTTTCAGTGTTAGTCGTGATCGTTTGAATTGTTAAAAAGTGCTTTAAATAGCAGTAGATAGAAGTAACTGTGTCCAAATTGATTAAGAACAATCTAATACTTGATATACCACAAGAAATACTGGTTCACAACTATTGGTTTGAGACTGGGCCTAATTTGCAAGAAGGGGAAAATGTGGAAGCCAGAGAAATGGGATTATTAAAAACATGCTTTGCATGGAAGAACACTTCGGAAATATTGGAAATATTGCTAGTCCCCTGGCAACTACTCTACAATACTCATGTTTGTTATACCCATGGCATATGTTGTAATACTACCAGGATACCCCTCCCCCCCCCCGTGGCACAGCGGCATGTCTGCAGATTTATAACGCTTGAATCCGGGTTTCGATACCCGTGGTGAATAGAGTACATATAGCCTATTGAGTAGCTTTGTGCTTAATTATAAACAAACACATCGCGTCCCATTGTGCTCCCGCACTTTGTAGCCATAGATTTATTATAAGAGTGACGATGAAGTTCCATTAGAGTACCCTAAAGATGTCAGGAGTGCTAGCTACCTTTCCTCTAATCTATCAGATCAAAGTAGAGACATATATATAGTATATAGCCATTTAAATAGCTTTACTGCAAGTATACGAAAAAAAATTACTTTTTGTTTCCAATCAGTATGCGTTGGTTATCACTAAGCTTACTAGTGCCGTTTAATTTTATATCGTTACTAGTTGATGATAAAATAATATATATATATATATATTTCTTCACTTTAAAATTATCAATTAGAGTTATAGTTATTTTTTGTAAATTTATGTCAGCTAATGAAGGATCTTTCATTTTTAGCTTTTTTGACTCATCGCTCTTTACTTAATTGCAAGCTATAACAAAATGTAGTTTTATTATTATTAGAATTGCAAACTTTCTTTGTATTAGATCAAACAAAAAGACACTTTGGTTGTTAATTAGTGTGGAATACAAATATTGTGAGATCATGGTTGAGCTTCAACAACTGAGTCTTAGCACTACGCTCGTAACACTCATTAAAATCCTTGTGGTTTAGTTTGAATTTTGCGCAAAGCTACACGAGGGCTGTCTGCGCTAGCCGTCCCTAATTGAGCAGTGAAAGACAGCTAGTCATCACCACCCACTGCCAACTCTTGGGCTACTCTTTTACTAACGAATAGTGGGATTGACCGTCACATTATAACGCCCCCCACGGTTGAAAGGGCGAGCATGTATGTTGGGACGGGGATTCGAACCCGTGACCCCCAGAGTACGAGGCAAGCGCCCTAACCACCTGGCCAAATTCCTTATGTGTAATCTGTAAATGTGAGTTTGTTGCTACTTATAGAATTCAATTTCAAACCTGTGTTTGTACCATCTGAGCTAAAACACTGTTCTTACGTCAAGATAAAAAGCCACTGTAACAGCTTTAGAAAATATATTTTTTTTAAAAATCGATTGCGTTTAAGAAGCAAATAAAGATACCCATTTTTAAGACAGATTTCCGAGGGTAAATATACTAAGGTGTGTTATTCGGTTTTGTTGTTGTTTTTGAAAACACGTTTTGTATATTTTAAAAATAGTGGGAAAATAAAAAAGTCTTATACCAGGTTATATTATCAATTTATCTAATTCACCTGTTTTATATTTATAAATCGTGAGCTTTCATTATGCACAACATCTATTATACTGTTTTCACATGCACACGTATTTATTATTTACTCTACAGTACAATAAACATACACATCAATAACGTATGAATACAACTCCGCGATTGCATCCAATATGATGTTTCTATCATATACATATATTATGTACATAATATTAGCTTTCTCTTTTGTAGCAATATCAAGTATTATGTAAATATTAAACATAATCCAGTAGCAGTTTATATATGTTTTACGTTTATATATATATATATACGTTGATAGAAATAAGTATTTATACACAAGGAACGTAAAATATACGCTACAAAAAATCAAAACAGGATCATTCAGTCAAATACTCAATGAGGTCGAATATCTTTATAAAATACACAATCATAAATGGCATATTATTAATGCTATAGTTTTCTACTCACTAGAGTGTTTCTGGGGATCTCTTTTTGAAATAAATGTTTACAGACTATAATCATAACGTTTCTTTCACATCACGGAAAAACCTTTTCATTGATATTTTGGAACGAGTGTTTACTATGTAATTTTGTTGTTTTTTTATATCATTTGATTCGTGCACGTTTAGTAAAGATTTGTAAATGTTTTACAGGAAGAAAGCTCTTCATTGGTATGCTGTCCAAGAAATTCAACGAGAACGACGTTAGAAGAATGTTCTCCCCCTTTGGATTTATAGAGGAGTGCACAGTGCTCAGAGACGTTAACGGACAAAGTAAAGGTAAATTCTACGATTAATAACAATCTTGAATAAAAAAATGTCTTGGGAATTTATGAATTTAAAATTTAAAATTGGAAAATTGTAAATTAATGTTCGTTTTACATATACAACGAACGAATTTGATGGAAATTTACGGCTAAGTGAAAAGTATATAATGAAACATCACAATAGAAAGGTTTTGTTTGTTTGTTTGAAGTTAAGCTACACAATGGACTATCTGTGCTCTGCCCACCACGGGTATCGAAACCCGGTTTCTAGCGTGGTCAGTCCGCAAACCTTCCGCTGTGCCACTTCCGCTCATCTACCATTTATATGTTTGAATGGTGAATATTTGACCATTAGATAGCAGATGCACTACTTACAAGACACTGATAACTTAACATTTGTTCTACAAGGACATCAAAAGTGGAACTTATACTTTCATATCATTTGTTGATAAGACGCTTTACTACACGTCTCTTTAACGAAAAACAATTTATTTTTACCGCGATTTTCAATCACCTTTCCATAGATGATGACAAAGGAATAGTCAGCCACTGACCATTTACCCAGTTTCCTCTCTTTCCCGACATTCGAAAAGGTAATGCTGTCAGATTTAAGTTTTAGCTGGAGAAATATATATATGTCACAGCCCTTTCCGAGAGTAAATATTCTGTAGTGAAACAGAGATGAAAAACCTAGAACACACTACTTAGAAACAAAAAGTGAGTAGCTTCGTTGGCGTACCCTACCATTACCAAAGTTCACAGCCTAAACATCTTCTCACCACACACTATACTACCACTTCCATTATCCAAGTTCACAGCCTAAACATCTTCTCACCACACATTATACTACCACTTCCACTACCAAAGTTCACAGCCTAAACATCTTCTCACCACACACTATACTACCACTTCCATTACCCAAGTTCACAGCCTAAACATCTTCGCACTACACGTAGACTGTCACACTATACTACCACTTCCATTACTCAAGTTCACAGCCTAAACATCTTCTCACCACACACTATACTACCACTTCCATTACCCAAGTTCACAGCCTAAACATCTTCTCACCACACACTATACTACCACTTCCATTACCCAAGTTCACAGCCTAAACATCTTCTCACCACACACTATACTACCACTTCCATTACCCAGGTTAACAGCCTAAACATCTTCTCACCACACATTATACTACCACTTCCATTACCCAAGTTCATAACCTAAACATCTTCCCACCACACACTATACAACCACTTCCATTACCCAAGTTCGCAGCCTAAACATCTTCTGACCACGCACTATACTACCACTTTCATTACCCAAGTTCACAGCCTAAACATCTCACCACACACTATACCACCACTTCCATTATCAAAGTTCACAGACTTGTTTTCCAGTACATACTCCTGCCTAACTCCTCCAGAATATTCCTGTAGACAAGTTTTACATATTCCAACCAATTTTGCACAAGATCATTCGCAAAGTTTTTGACGTTGAAAAGAAACATAAATTACAAGCTTCTCCATTGGCAGGTCGGTAAAAGAAAGACAAATAGAAGAAAAACTATACAAAATATACTTCGCATGGGAGTGATGGAAATTTGTTGGAACATTGAACCAGACTTAGGTGTACTTGAACGACTACGTTAGGAACAGGATTTGATTTCCTACTGACTATGAGGTGTTAAGGCCTTTCCAAGATGGTACAAGGAGTGTAAAGAAAACCTTTTTTTTTATTAGACGCTACGGTTGCCACAGATTTTTCATATAATGCTATAAGCTTTACAAAGTGAATAGTAAAGCACCAGTGAACTCTAGCTACTATATCAGGAGAACGTATTGACACCTGTTGTATTAAACGAAACTCCTACACTGTATTGCCACTGTATGGTTGTATCAAAATAAAAGTCAAGTCATAGGTCTAAATCTACCAGCAGCGTTTCTATTATTCTCGGAGAATGAAACATTATTCATGCTAAACTCTCTTCTTGCGTACCTTTGTAGTCACCTACCTGACTGCATGTTAATGAGTTTTTGGACACTGACTTGCTTAGTCGTAAAATGGAAAGATTTGATTAATTAAAGAAAGTGTTCTTACAAGGGTGGAATTGATGTTAATAAGACAAACTAATAATCTTTAATACACACACACACCAAAAATACACAAATGCTTTCTGCAATCTGACGTTATTATATTTTATTTAGCGACGTTTCAGCTTCTGTACTCTCTATAAGCAATGATCGATGAAGAGAACGTCATTGCTATTTTTTTTGGCTTTTCTTTGGGGGAATCTATTGAAGATTATTAATTTATCTTATTGTGTAATGGAAAGTTTGTGGAAGTTTTTTGTTTTGTTTCAAAATGTACGATCTAATTTTGACCTAATCATTTTAACAGAGTCTTGATACAATGAAAATTTCAGTGTCTGGCAAATGCGCATAACGATAATCGTCAGGATGAATATGGTCCACGATGTCTCCAGGAGGTTAATGCCGGCACAGGAAGCTTGGAACGTTATTCTCATTAACCCTCTGACAAAAGTTAGCAATCTACAAATTTTCTCCCTGCTTTTCTCAAAAGTTCTAATTATAAGAAATTAGGCTTCACTAAATCAAATACTACTATTCAACAAGGTAATAGAACCTCATAAGGTGCAGAACGACTTTAGCGGATAGAACACGACTTTGAGCAATAACATGTTTGTGGTATAACATCATAATAACATTGTTGATAATGTGATTTAAATTTTTACCAGAGTTGCTATGATGTAGTATCACAAATAATTCTGATAATAATATACCTCACTAAAATCCCAATGACAAAAAAGGCAGATTATTTCTGCAATACTTTTTTTCAGAAAATCTGCGCTCTAAAATGGTTGAATATAGTGATTATGGGTACAAATAGTCATCTTTGCAAAACTTTAGAAATTTACTTTGTTACACATAATTATCATATGCACACTAATGCCTATCGCAAAAGACTAATAGGAAAATATAAAATAGTAATCGTTTTTAATACAGTAAAATCACTTTAATGTGTGAGTGCCCCTATTCTCGGTATTTTCTTCCAGAATTTAAACTGTAAATTATGTTGTTGTTTTGTTTTTCGTTTTTCATTCAAAATGTTCACCAGTCAACATTGTCTTGTCGTGAAGATAGGGCTACTTTGATACATAGGATCACGCTGTAAGAAATCTATCAACATGTCGATATACGAACAAAATGTATAAATATCTCGCCAGTTTCGACAAAATGATCCTAATTCTGTTGCCGCTCGCTCAGCATAGCTTCTAAAATGAAAGTGTACAAGATTTATTATTACAAAATACGTCACTGAACAATAACCAAGTGGAGTTGTTTTTATCTTGATGAAGATATGTCGTTGATAAAAGGCTTACCCAATACTATAAATAGAAAAAATATTGAGACACAAAGTCGGTAAATGCATTTACCTGATTTCTGAAACCAGTTAGAAGATTGAGTTATTGAGAACCAAGTCTAAATATAACTACAGTCGCTGTTTCACGAAACAAATTAACAAAAGTTGGCAGAATTTTATTTCCATAATATCACGGTGTTTTTGTATTTCATAAGGACTGTTTTGTTGCTTATGGTTTTGGCCACAGACTGTCAAGCGCAGTGTTTCCACTAGGATCAAACTTATTTATATCTGTTTAAAAAAAAAAAGATCTCAAAGTTGCGTTTCTTTTGTGTGTTTTGTGCTATTGCCTGACGCCCTCTTGTTTTCTTAATGAATTTTACTGAATTCTTGCTTTGTGAGATTTTTCTTTTTTAAATTTAACATATGCTAATTACAAATGATTATCGATCTGTTTAGTGATGTGTTAGTTATTTTTATATAGTTTTAAATTGCTATATACAGTCGAAGTAAGAGGTTTCTCCCAAGACTGCATATATCTTGGAAGGAATTCTAATACATATTTAAAAGTTTTTAGTATTTTTTTTTTATTTTCGTGATTCGTTTAAGACGAGTTAATGCATATGGTAAGTTTATTCGTTCATGATTTTAAACCAAATTTTCTATTAACCATCGAGCTGTTAAAACTAAATAGCGGATTTTCTTCATTGTTTTTACTTTGGACAGAGTTGATAGGTTTTTGAAAAAGAAGAAAATAATTATAGGTGTATTTTGTGAAACCAATTACTGATTGGAATTAATATTAATAAGTTTTCTATCAATATTAATGTAAATTTAGTGTTTGTAAAATGTAGATTATGTTGATAATGTAGGTTTATCTAGGTTCTCATATCACAAGGATTAATGGTTTGATGTTGCTATATCTGTTTAGTTTGTATATTTCAGTAACTTAATTTGTCTTTTGATTATCATTGTTCATAGTATTCGAATACGAAAGAGATAATGAAAAATTAGTGTTTAATTTTATTTGTTTGTTATTAAACACAAAGCAATATAATAGGTTATGTGCCCACCTTTGGTATCGAAACCCGGTTTTTAGCATTATAAGCCTTTAGATTTTCCGTTTAACCACTGGGAGGTAATGTTATTTGGAAAAGTGGTTATTATGGTCCTATTGTGGTACCTAACACTGTTAGCTCGAATCTCTATACCCTATAGAACTTCAGTGTATATATGTATGTATTTTTTCACATTCTGTATAATCTGAGTCCACGTATAATGTGAGAATAAGAAATGTGGTACATGACAGTCAGGAGAAGACAGAACATGATGTGGTACATGACAGTCAGGAGAAAACAGAACATGATGTGGTACATGACAGTCAGGAGAAGACAGAACATGAAATAGGGTCTATTAGTCGTTAATTAAATGTGTGCTAACATTCCACTAACTTAAGGGTAAGCACTTTTTTCATTGAAGTCGCTCCTACTGTGATGTGGAAATTTTGCCATGCATGATAATATAACATGATTAAATGTTCTCTTCTTTTTCGTGTTAGCTCTACTGTTAAAGTTAATAGAAATATCTAACACATCAACGAAGTAATAAGAGTGAGTGAGTGGGTTCTAA